GCTGGGCGAATGGTTTATACCAGGTTGCGATTGCGTGCCTGGAAAGTGTTTCTGATTGCTGGATCGGCGACGGTTATCATGTTTCTTTTTATAGACCGAAGTCTTTGGTTCCTGTGTACTCAACACAATGCGATTGTACAGCTGATATGATCTCTACTAGTATCATTCTAGGGTACAGACAATTCTTTAGAGATAATGCTCGAGCACAACGTAGCATAATTACCAATCAAGATGCACTAACTAAAGCATATTCCACTTTCGGCAGGATCAACAGGGTCCGACGGGTGACGTACGCCTTCCCATTCCAGCACAAACCTGCACGACAAAATCAAAACCTCCGAGCAGCTACTCGAGACCTTCTTTCAACCACCAACTCCTTCTCGTTCGCTTCGTGGAATATCTCTCGTTTACAAGTACTTATATATACCACGTCTTTCGTTGATCTATACGCTCTCCTACTTTTACTACTAATAATCCTATTTACATTCGTTTTTTTTTTTTTTTTTTTTTCTCTCTCTTTTCTCGGTTGGACCGTGCAGATTACTCGCATACAGTCAACCTAATCAGATAACCACGCACGTTTCGATCTGATCCTGCTGCCATCATGGCAAACAAGCAGCTGTACCCCGGTGACGACTACAGTCGATACGGCGGCGCAACTTCGCAATTCCCCAAGTTCGAGTTACCTGTGCAGCATACTACTGATCTTTCGTCGAGTGCGGACTACCCCCAAACCCCGGTCAACTCCAGACACCCTACAATCACTCCTTCAGCTACAGCCGGTGTGGCCGGTGGTGCGTTACCCCGGTACGATCCCCGTGGATGGTCGCTGCGGACGAAGTTGATTGTTGGTGGTGTTGCTGTGGTCGTTATCGTGGGTGTTGTTGTGGGAGCGGTCGTGGGGACGAAGAAGAACCGGTACCCGGACTATACGCCGTTGAAGTATAGGCTGGTGGATGATTACTCGGGGACGAGCTTCTTTGACAAGTTTGATTACTTCTCGGCGCAGGATCCGACGGATGGGTTTGTGCAGTATGTGCTTTGTGTGATTGGTTCCGTGTTGTGTGTTTGCTTGGCTAACGTTGTGGTAGGTATGTGGATCAGACGACGGCGCAGAATCTCAACTTGACGTATGCCACGGACGAGTCGGTTCTTGTGAAGGTGGATACCTCGAACACCTACGCGGCATCTGGTCGTCAGTCTGTGCGGATCGAGTCCAAGGCTCACTACAACGATGGGCTGTTTATCTTCGATATCACTCATACGCCTTACGGATGTGGTCTATGGCCGGCGCTTTGGCTGACGGACGGGTATAATTGGCCCACAAATGGTGAGGTCGACATCGTCGAGACCAATAACCTGGCTACGGAGGGGAATGCTGTAACGTTGCACAGTACCGCTGGGTGTAACATGAAGGTCAAGCGGAAGCAGACCGGAAAGCCCAATTACACGATTTGCGATAACAGTACGCATGGTAACGCTGGATGTGGAGTTCAGGCTGAGCCGCAGTCCTATGGCGAGTGGTTGAATGCCCTTGGTGGAGGGGTAAGCGCCCTGGAAGTACTAACTGATAATTCGACCTTGCTAACGTATTGGAAGGTGTACACCTTGGAGATGCGAAATGCAGGTATCCGGGCCTGGTTTTTCCCGCGGGATGGTATCCCAGACGACATCACCAACAGCACTCCGGATCCCTCGACATGGGGCACGGCATTGGCCGACTTTCCCAGCACAAACTGCGACATCCCTTCGCATTTCGCCAACCAAAGTATCATTGTTAACATCGATCTATGCGGTCAGCTCGGCGCCCAGCCCCAGTTTTACACGGAGCAATACAACTGCCCGGGCACCTGCGAGAATTTCGTGGCGCACAACGCGGCTAACTTTACTCAAGCGTATTGGGAGTTTAAGAGTTTCAAGGTTTATCAGGCGCAGTGATTGTTGTTTGTTAATTTGTCGGATTTGGCGTTCTTTGTTGCTTTCAATGAGTTTATGGGTGATGATTTTGGGTCTTGGGAACCTTGGGAAAATTATATAGGTACTTAATCGGTAATGCTTAGGATAGCTATAATTGATTTGGGCAAGGTTCTGGGAAAGCCTGTCTCAATTTCATTCGTGCAAAGGATTCCTTCGAATATGTAAGATTGTTTGGGGTCGTCTTTATCCCTGCTCGCGCCTCGAGTCTTTGTTTGCTACATTTGTCCGTGTAAGATGCAAGAACAGTCACAGTAACAATGAATCCATTTGTAAATCGACGATTTTCCCTAGTCTCTCACTGTTTCACGACTTCTTTCATATTCTTTGTACGGAATTTCCTATTTTAGTACATTAGGGCTGATAGCGCATAAATATTCCTCGACCGCCATCCCCTCGATTTACTCATCCTCTTTCTTCTTCTTCTTCTTCTTCTTCTTCTTCTTCTTCTTCTTCTTCTTCTTCTTCTTCTTCTTCATCATCATCATCATCTTCGACTCTTTTCTTCAGATATCCCGCCATGAAGAAGGTAAGTCAATACATTCCACACTCCAACCCTCATCTTCCTTCTACGCCATACTAATACCGTGATCACGAAACAGATATTCTCGAACGCCATTCTTGACTTCCTCACCCTATTCACGGATGGCATCGTTGCGGCTGCGATTGTTGGGGCGATGTCTTGATACCCTCATTTGTTGAACACAGATTGCCTGGTCTGCTTTGTTCTTTGGGGTTTTTTCTTCGATTCCCGCCTGTCTCTGGTCTGGGGTCACTGTTTTTTGTTGCTCTTGTTGATACAGAGTATAAGTTGACAAACAGGGCTTGCTTAGTGAGCTACGGTTCAAGACTGGTGGCCTTGAGCTCGGGGTAGAGGTCGGGTCGGGTCGGGTTTGGTATATACAGGATCGTGTGGTGCACTCTATCTCTGCATCGCTTGAGTTTGGTTGATGGAAATGGCTGACGTTGTTTATTTTCTAGTATACCGGCAGCAAGCTGCCTTGCCTTCTCGGTTATTATATATAAGAGCGTCTCAAACCTGTCCTTCTTCTTACGCTTAAATCCTCGTCCATCCTACCGAGGTATGTGTACAATACTCTGCTGACTCTATCTAAGCCCCGTTCTGCAATCTCCATATTAGATATCTGACGTCCTGCCTTTCTTCCTAGACACTTATTGCGAATATTCGAAAAAGGAATTGCTCTCCGTCCCGAACGGGTCTAGTCCTCGGTCATAGACAACTGGGGAAGATACCAAATAAGGAAGCCAGCTAACGGACCGCTGTGCCTTCGAACAACATTTTTCTCGGCCGTTTTGGAAGAGAACAATTGTATTTTCGCAATGTCTGCCAGCATATCTCCTCCCATGCAAATGGTGTTGGATATCTAGATTGGTGTTGAGTCGTGGCAATTAACTAATTGTTCTTTTATGAAACTAGAAATATAGACGCTGTGCCTAATTACTAGGCATGTTTGTACTATTGCTCAAAGCCAGCACGGCCTTAAGCTTACTGAACAAGCGCCTCGTGCAATTTCTGGCAGATGGAAGCAGGCAAGGGCTATACCCGTTCCCACGCAACCCGGTGGTCATATATACAAAGCAAGAGCCGCAGTACAGTGATTGAAACGATACTCTCCTGTCTGTTGTGTTTTGTCTTACCCTAAACAATATTCATCCTTGGTTCGTGAATGATATATACACCGTATGTCGTCAGCCCGGATGATATGTGGACGGAGCAAAGCTAACTGCTAATTACCAGTTCCCTCAATCAGCCCTTCTTGCAGAATTGGCTGTCAAAGCTGCTTCATATTGTATGCACATTTTAGTCTCGACGAACTTTTAGTTGGTTTGATCAACCAGGCCGACCGACCTCCTGGTATGGAAAATGACGCAGGAAGCCAGAGCGTGCATTGTCACTCCCATTCTTGCGCACTACTAACAGAGAAAACAGGCACTCTTACGCGCGTGGTCATGCTCTTCGACGGACAAACTATGATCTGTGTATCGGTGCGACTTCAAGGACCTCAAGTCTTCATGTTATTGTCTATAATCAACCCGCCGTCGCTCTCCAATACTCTCGCAAACTACCTGTTTCTTTCTGGTGCACTCGCTATTCTCAAAGTGATCCACATCCGGAGCGAAGAAAGCAAGGAATAAACAGGTATTGTCAAATATATGACATGAGCTGCGCTTTCTAGTCCTTGGAACCTCGTTTTTTTCCGTTTTGTGCCTTATATCTCATCATATTCTCTTTGAACTCCCCCCTGTGGGGGACCCAACGTTCGCAGTCTAAAGTCTAGTTTAGATCGTTCATCAACTCACACAGGGAATACGAAACGGTGTGATGACTGGTCAGTTGGCACCAGCGAACATTTCACGGCCGCACTTGGAGGAACTGCATTTGAAAAGAGTGCATAACCACTCAAGATCTTTCCGTTCTCATTCACAGATGTCGAAACACCCTCAGGATTATTCTCATATTCTTCCTTCTCAATTTGGTGTTTGTTTTATCATCGCTTAGCTAGCTAGTTTGGATAGTCAAAAAGGCTATCGAATAATAAGGGTTGAATATGGGGTTTATGTGGTCAATTAGCTCTGGGAGTTATGACTTTCGCAACAAAGTAGTATTCTGTGTCCATAACCCCGGCGAAAGATTGTCAACTACAACACCAAAAGTCAATTCCAGTCTCAGCGCATGGCTCTTTCATCACGTTCCTGTAAAGACCGATCATCATCCTCTTTCATCCGAATGTACATCCGCTTCCGTTTTGTTGGAATCCAACACAGTGTCATCCTATTGCCGGATTTAGGAGTTATTTCTGTACTTCGGAATTAGTGTTCTTATTGCCATTGATGACGCTACCAATTCGGTGTTGCGTACCTAGATGACCCCATCTCCGTGCCCGAAGATGTTCGGGCGAATTCTGTCTCGCTGTCCGAAGATTTTCGGAGTCCATGAACACCATCCCATGTATAAATTGACTGCCATGGCCACTCACTGGGGTCAAGCAGAATCGCAATCTACAGATCATTACATTCATCATGGCTACCAACGTCTCCTTCCTCTCCCGCAACCTGAAACTCGCCGGTCACCTCTACCATCCTCAGGCCAACGCACCCAACCGCAACGGTGCGGTCATTTCGTCATCTCCCATCCTTGGACTTTCATAAAGGAGCAGTCCCCCGCCAACTACGCTCGTGTCCTCTCCCAAGCCGGCTTCATCTGTCTTACATTCGATGCCGCTTACCAGGGTGAATCCGAGGGCGAACCACGCGCTCTCGAGGATCCCACCCAGCGCGTCGAGGACATCAAATCCGCCGTGACCTACCTAGTCAGCCAACAGGACGTCAACTCAGATCGTATTGGCGTTCTCGGTATCTGCGCCTCGGGCGGATACGCACCATTCACCACCCAGACAGACCTCCGCATCAAGGCATGCGCCACCGTTGCGGCCGTCTGCGCGGGAGCCATGGCTCGCAACGGCTTCGAAAAAAAAAAAAAAAACACCTCCACCCCAGAGATCCTCAAGATGCAGCTTGAAGGTGCCGCCGCGGATCGTAACAGCGACGTCACCAGCGACAAGGTTCCCATCGTGCATTTACTCCCCGAGAAACCCGAAGACGCGCCTGCCAACATGCCCAAGTCTTTCCGCGATTTGATGCAGTACTACCGCACCCCCAGGGCTCATCACCCCCGGGCGACCAACACCACCATTCCCCGTAGCTGGGACATCATGGCCAACTTTGACGCTTTTGCGTTTAACTCGATGATCAGTCCGCGACCGCTGCTGATGATCACGGGTACCAAGGCGGCGTCTAAGTGGCATAGCGAAGAGGGTGTGGCTAAGGCTAAGGAGCCTAAGGAATTCTTCGTCGTGGATGGGAAGACGCATGCCGATTTGTATGATCAGGTTGATGAGGCGGGAGCCAAGTGTGCGGAATTTTTTTGGCAAGAGCTTGACTGCATGAGCGCTATGACTATCACATTAGAATCGAGAATTTCAAGTTTATTGCTCCGTAATTCCCTCAGACTTCTTTCTGATTAGCGCGCCTTAGTAGAAATAGGGTTCCGGGCACCTTCCCTTTTCGGCAACCCTCTGAATTTTCTCCGTGGATGTTGTAGTACGTCTTTGAAATGGATCTCGATCCGATCTAGAAAGTCCAAGGCACTTGGTCTTTTACTTATTTTGTATTAGGGATTCACTAGTCTCGGGAGCCCCGTAGAAAAGAATATAGGGAGAATGTGGAGGCGGCTGAAAAAAAAAAAAATGCATGCGCGATGATGTGTCCGACATTCAACACGTATACAGCTACTCATCCTGTGAACTAAGCTGTTGCTATAATCAAAGGTGTTACTAATTTGGGCGTTGTCGGGATATGTACAAGCAAAATAATTAGGATCCAATTGCCATAAGCGATAGAATCACGACTTTTTGTAGGTTAAAATCTCCATAAACAAATGAAACAGGGTATACAACTTTTAATTCTCAATCACACTCCGCGGTAAATGTGTCGCGGAATGCCCCTCCTGTAAGCCTCCATTTAACGACATCTCATCACCACTACGGCTCCATTTCCCCGGTCCATCCTGTAGTTGTGTCAGGGGCATCTCCCCGTCCAAATCTTCGACGTTCCGCCGTTTGTGGAAGTTCAGACTTGAGCCGACAGACGGCCCTGTTTCCGATGTATAGTCCGCATTGCGGACTGAGCCAAATAGATTCGGGAAGAACGCTTTCAAGACCGGTCGCATCATGGGTATGCAGGCGTTGGTTACGGCCAGGGCGGGCTCAGCCACACTCCAAAATGCAGCCCAGATCATGGAGTATGGGAGATCGGTGAAGTCGACGGTGGTGAGGACGTGGATGCGGATTATGGTGATTGCCGAGATGCTGTTTCGTTAGCGCTAGTCGCAATGTGAAAAAAGGAGATAACGTACAAAAATCCCAGACCAAATATCATATACAACCCCAGTTTTGTTGCCGGAGACATTTGCAGTTTCCGAATGAAATGCACCGGGAGCAGCATGATCAACAGATCGGTCACCAGGTTGAAAGCGCCAATAGTGGAAAAGGCGACGTTCTGACTAGCACAATGCCCCTCGAGAGTCGGATCCCAGTTCTTCGCAAATGGCTGGCAGATTAGGAATATCTGCAGCATACTCCCGAGCCAGTATGATAAGGCGCATCCCATGCAGATCCAGGCGGCCAGCCGGAAAGCTTCCGTAACAAAGATGCGCAGGTAAAAGAAGAGGTAAGACAGTTTCGCGAGAACCATGGCGTTATAGTAGACGATTTGGTACACGATGAGCATCTGTTGGTCAGCGAAAATTCTATATCCCACATTGTCCCTTTCTGGTGGCTAACCTTGAGCATGAGAATGGTGTTTTGCATCGGAATCTCCGTCACATGCTCGCGCATCCCGACTCGGGCGTAGTGATAATGCATAGCCAACATCCCATATGTGTGCAGCTATTCATTCAGTCAGCAAACGCTCTGGACAAGTTCGACAAGGGTAAAGCTCCGTACCAACGACAAAACACAGCACACATCATCCCACCAGATGTGACTCTCACGGATCCTGCGCGAGATAAACCGCATCACCACCATTGTCGTCGCCAGCACAGCCAGCACCGTATTGGCGATGAGCTGGTCGCGCACAATCTCATTTTGAAAAACATTGTACAGCTGAGGTGCGGCCATTTTCTGGCCAAGATGCCGGGATGTAGGAGCAAATCCTCACGTATTCATATTTTTGACTTTGCTTCCAATGCAGAGTCTCGACCGACCGGCTGGGGGGGTATATAAGCCGCGACAAATGGGGATGCACCGTGCATCCCGGGATAAGCTCCTGCATCTGACAGCTGCCTCCCACAACGGTTTTTGTGGGTCAAGTTGCTTCTGAATGGTCCGGATGTATCAATGCTTCTGGTCCGGCCCAGTCCGTTGCTGGCTGGTGCGGCACCGGTGTCACGCTTAGATGCGATTTTATTATTAGGGACTGTACTTTGTTATAGCTAAATTCTGAATTTTCCTATTTCCCGTCCCTCGGTTGATGTATCAAATTTTCCTTTTTAAATTGGCAGTTGTCTCATTCATATCAATTGCTTTGTCTCGCTTGTTCGAATTGGCTGTGAAGCACTGCAATGTCCGAATACGACTTCATTATCATCGGCGCCGGCGTTGGGGGTCTTGTTCTGGCCTCACGTCTAAGCGAGGACGCAGACCGCTCCGTGCTCGTGCTCGAAGCAGGTCCCAATCGCATGGGAGATGCTCGCATTGAAACTCCGGGCCTGCTTGGGACCCTGTACGGTGATCCAGAGATTGACTGGGACTATATGAGTGAGCCGCAGGTACGCATTGCACCTACAGATCCAGCTTTTTTCGTGAACGGCAACTAATTGAATAGATCCATGCGAACAACAGACAAATCGGCCAACCCCGTGGCCGCGTTGTCGGAGGCTCCTCCGCAATCAACTTCGGCGTCATCATGTATCCATCGCGATCCAACTTCACGGCCTGGACTCAACTGGGCAATGAAGGCTGGGGACCGGACGAGATGGCACCGTATCTGCGCAAGTTCCACACCTACACACGGCCAAGCGACACGACCTCCTCTCTTCTGGGAGTCGACGAATACATGAAGACTGAGGCACAAGGTGTCGATGGTCCAGTGCCGGTGACTCTGCCCGATGTGTATGGCGAGCTCAATCAGGCCTGGAACGAGACATTTCACGAGCTGGGATGGAAGGCCAGTGGAGATCCAATCACTGGAGAGAACATCGGGGCGTTTACCAATCCGCTGACGGTGGATGGTAATGGGCGACGGGGATACGCGACGGCGTATTATACACCTGAGGTTGCGCAACGGCCAAACCTGCATTTGCGGGCCGAGACATTGGTGGAAAAGATCCTCCTTGATCAGTCGGGAGACACACCTAGAGCAACTGGTGTCCAGATCCGCACCAAGGATGGCAGCGAGTGTATCACTGCTCGTCGCGAAGTCATCCTGTCGGCTGGAAGTTTGAATTCGCCCCAGGTCCTGGAGCTGTCGGGCATTGGACAGGCAGACCTGCTTCAAAAGCAGGATATTCCGGTCGTTGTTGACCGTCCCGGTGTGGGGGAGAATCTGCAAGACCATGCACTGTCGGCGCTCAGCTTCCAAGTGGCCGACGGGCAGATTTCCGGCGATGTGTTGCGCGATCCAAACGTCGCACAGGCGCTGCTCAAGCTATACGAAGACACGCACAGCGGACCGATGTCCGGCATGCCGATTAGCATGGCCTACTTGCCGTCCGTGGACAACAACGGCGCATTATCTGCGGAAGCTGTACAAGAACTGGTGCAGAGTCATCAGGACCAAAACGCTTCCCCGGCGCTGCAAGAACAATACGACATTCTGCAGAAGAAACTACTCGACCACAAAACCCCAGACGTGCAGTACATGTTCCTTCCTGCCCAGCTACACATGAAACCCGGCGCGACGACCGTGCCAGATGTCCTGGCCAAGAACCTGCCAGAGAATTACATCAGTATCCTCGCCCTCCACAACAACCCCTTCTCGCGGGGCTCTGTGCATATCCGGTCATCCCGGATCGAGGACAAGCCGATCTACGATCCAAACTTCCTCTCGCATCCGCTCGATCTGGAGCTGATGGCGCGCCAAACGCAGTACTTCGATCGCATCGTGCAGACGGGGCCATTCGCCTCTTTACTCAAGGCAGATGTCCGAATTCCAGCACACGCGGTTGATTTGAGCGATCTCAACGCCGCAAAGGAAATGGTCAAGGAGCGATTGTTCACCTGCTTCCATCCATCGGGGTCGTGTGCTATGATGCCCGCTGACAAGGGGGGTGTTGTGGATAGCCGTTTGAGGGTCCACGGAACTAGTAACCTGCGTGTGGTTGACGCTAGTGTCTTTCCCCTGGAGCCATCCGGGAATATTCAAGCGACAACCTATGCATTGGCCGAAAGGGCGGCCGATTTGATTAAAGAGGATCATGCGGAGGCTGCTGCAGGGCTTTCTATAATCTCTGCATTCCTTCCGTCGTGCATCGTTAGTTAATAAACTTAATGTCGGGGTGCGTCTAGGGATACCAACACAGGGAGGAACTTATAGGTAATTGTGTCCATTTGTTTTGTTTTTATGTTACTATGCTATTGTGTTGTTTTATATAATATCCGTGTACAATAGCCATTGCAGTCTTCATAATTGAATTATGTCGAGGTTACAACTACAACTGCAACAATGCAACACAAAAACCATGGGTGGGCGCGTAATGGTCGGCCAGTATACAGCGGTCCCAGACAAACAGACTGTCAGATTTCAGGCACGTTGCACTGATCCAGAAATGATCCAGGGAATGTCGCGCGTTGTCCTGCCAGGGACATTCTTGCATGGAATGCTGACGTCGAGAGCTCCCCATCCCCCCCTCACAACATACACTCTTTGTCTTTTCACTCATACTCATTCGATCTTTCGTTCCATTGTTCTGTTCATTTGCTTCGTTTCAATAGTGTTATTGTTAGTTCAGGATAGTCATGCGCATATCATGGCTTCTTCTTCTCTCGACCGCGGTGGCGGTCGAACTGGACGTGGATGATCCAGGTATGTTCAAACATGAGGCAAAAGAAAAGAAGAGAAAAAGACTGACTTAACAGATTCGATCAAGTTGGCCTCCAGACAAGTCGCGACGAATATGCTCTCGTACTACACTGGTATGAACCCCGGCGACAATCCAGGAAACCTCCCAGACCCCTACTTCTGGTGGGAAGCCGGGGCGATGTTCGCATCGCTAGTCGATTATTGGTTCTATACCGGCGACGACACCTGGAACAACATCACGACGCAGGCTATTCTTTGGCAAGCCGGAGGCGAGGGGACATTCATGCCTGAGAACCAGACACGAACTGAAGGGAACGATGACCAGGGTTTCTGGGCTTTTGCAGCCATGTCCGCCGCGGAGCGCAACTATCCCAATCCACCGGACGACAAACCTGGGTGGTTGGCTATGGCGCAGGCTGTGTTCAATACCCAGGCAGCTCGTTGGGACACAGAGAGCTGTTCCGGAGGGTTGAAATGGCAAATATTCACTTTCAACAACGGATACGATTATAAAAACACCATCTCGAACGGATGCTTCTTCAACCTGGCTGCGCGTTTAGCCAAATACACCGGCAACCAAACATATGCCGACTGGGCGGACCGTATCTGGGACTGGACCAAGAGCGTGGGTTTCATGACGGACGAATATCAGTTCTGGGACGGGGCCGATGATCGACAAAACTGTTCGGAATTCAACCGCATTGAGTGGACGTACAACTCGGGAGTGTATCTCCTAGGTGCAGCGACAATGTTCAATTTCACCGAAGGCAATCCCCTCTGGAAAGAACGAACCCAGAATATCCTCAACGCTACAACGGCCGCCTTCTTCACCGATTCGGTCATGTACGAACGCGCCTGTGAACCTGTCGGCACTTGTCAGGTTGACCAGCGCGGTTTCAAAGGTTACACGGCGCGCTGGATGGCCTCTTCGACTCAGATGGCTCCCTTCACATATGATCTTGTAATGCCTCTTCTGCGCGCATCAGCTGAAGCAGCTGCGGAAACGTGCACGGGTGGAGATGACGGTCTAGCCTGCGGGCAGAAATGGGTGACCAGGAAATGGGAGGGGGAGGAAGATGTTGGACTGCAAATGGCAGCGCTCGAAGTCATCCAGTCGAATCTGATCACTCGCGTTGATCCCCCAGTGACCAACGAGCACGGCGGAACAAGTAAAGGCAACCCCGGTGGTGGGTCACCGCCACCAGAACCGAAGCCTTCCAGTCTGACAATGAGTATCACGACGAAGGACAGAGCTGGGGCGGGCGTGCTTACGGGGGTAGTTACTTTAATGGTGATTGGTTCGACAGGGTGGCTTATCTGGGATTAATGTTTTATTGTCTTTGTTAATATGTTTAATAATGTTCTTTCAGCCTTGTATAGACCAGAAAATGGTATAGGCTCAGATATCCGCAACGGGAGATACTTCGATGTATAGCCACCCCGCAAGCTCTTGTCCTGCAGTAGCTCCGGATATACGGTCCAATTCTCAACGAGATGAACGGGGAGAATGAGGGGAAGCGGACTAATTCCGCGTAGAGATCGGTATAAATCTGTCCGACTTCTTTGCCTGTCGCCGTCATGTCTGCAGCTTTCGGTATCCCGACAAAATGGTCGCGACAAACGTCACCAAGCCCTCTCCATTGCATACTATCCCAGTGGTTCCCACGCACTGCAAGGCCGGTGTCGTGGTTAATGAAGGCCCTAATTTCGAAGTCCGTGTCGAAACCGTCCCCGTTCCGACCCCCGGCCCTGACGAGATCCTCATCCGCCTCAATGCCACTGGTCTTTGCTCCTCTGATTTGCACCTGATGGCGGCCGATCTGGATACTCCACCAATGTCAGCATTTGGCGTCCGCTCCGCAGGTCATGAAGGCGCTGGTATCGTCGCCCAGGTTGGCGCCAACGTCAAGACCTTCCAAGTCGGTGATCGCGCCGGTATCAAGCCCATCCTCGACACTTGCAACAACTGCGACCTCTGCTGGGATGACAAGGAGACATACTGCTCTGGTGCAGTCCTAACCGGTCTGGCTGCTGTCGGGACGTACCAACAGTTTATCGTCTCACCCGCACGGTACGCCTCTCCTATCCCAGACCGTGTCCCCGACGAAGTA